CTCCCCACGCCCCTGGCGCCCCAGCCTCCGAGCGCCGCGCTCCCCACGCCCCTCGCGCCCCAGCCTCTGCGCGCCGCGCTCTCCACGCCCGGCCCTGCAAGTGTTTTCAAAATAGCTTTTTTTTTGTCCCCCACGAGGACGCGCAGGGACGACTGGAGCGCGCCTGTCACTCTCCGAACTACATCTCCCAGAAGACACTGCGGGGCCGCCTCCTCGCCAGCGCGCGATAGGGGCTGATCCAATCGAGAAAGTGGCCCTGTTTCCCTGCCCCATTTCCCCCCCCCTCACCCCCCCGCAGGCTTTCTGAGCAGCGAAACTCCCATAAGGCACCGTGCGCCACCATTTCCAGACTCAGCAGGGCGGGGCCGGCTCAGGACTCCATTTCCCAGCAGGCGACGCGGCACGAGAGGCGGGACTCTGCTTCCCAGCAGGCTCCAGGCGGCGAGCGCCGCGGTGCCTTGTGTGGGATGTAAGCGCGGAGGTGGGCGCGGGGGACCGAGGCCAGGACTCTCCTTGGGATTTAGGGGGCTGACCAGAGGTCTCCTTCTGGAAGGACTCCAGGGTTCGGAGGGTATCATCGTAGAGAGAGGGCGGGACGTTTTTTGGAGGCCCTCAGAAAGGTCCTTGGCGCCCACCCCTGCAGGGCCGGGGGTCGCGGGTTTGGAGGGGACAAGGAGGCCCTTCTTCCTCGGCCGAGGGGTCTCGTCGACCGAGGAGGGGCAGCTGGTGGGCGCAGGTGAAGGGGGCGGGGAGGCGGGGGAGCCGCGGGGGGGCCCGGTCGGGGGTCCCCTCCCCCAAGCCAGACCCTCTTTCTCTCTCCCGGGACTCCCCGGCAGGCCGCCGCCCGCCGCTATGGGGCTGAAGGCCGCCCAGAAGACGCTGTTCCCGCTGCGCTCCATCGACGATGTGGTGCGCCTGTTTGCTGCGGAGCTGGGCCGGGAGGAGCCCGATCTGGTGCTCCTCTCCTTGGTACTGGGTTTCGTCGAGCATTTCCTAGCCGTCAACCGTGTCATCCCCACCAACGTTCCCGAGCTCACCTTCCAGCCCAGCCCCGCGCCTGACCCTCCCGGCGGCCTCACCTACTTCCCCGTGGCCGACCTGTCCATCATCGCTGCTCTCTATGCCCGCTTCACCGCCCAGATCCGAGGCGCCGTCGACCTGTCCCTTTATCCACGAGAGGGGGGTGTCTCCAGCCGCGAGCTGGTGAAGAAAGTCTCTGATGTCATATGGAACAGCCTCAGCCGCTCCTACTTCAAGGACCGGGCCCACATCCAGTCCCTCTTCAGCTTCATCACAGGTTGGAGCCTGACAGGTGGCCCCGGGGAGTAAAATGAATCTTGGCCCACCTCCTCTTCTCAGTGCTGTGTGGTTTACAGAACTCTTTTGAGACCTGGAAACCTAGTGGGGAGGGGCAGGTGTTTGTCCTTTGCAGTTGGGGGAAACAGATCCCAAGAGGGCAAGGGATGTGCCAGAGTCACAGAATGGCAGTACTGGGGCAGAAATCGAATCGCTTTACTCCAAAACCTTTCACCTTTCCTTGTGTCTGCTCAGTACCTTTAGCCCTGCCATGCAGTTTGAAATGCAGAAGGTGGCAGCAGATTGGGGGGGGAGGGGTGGGGAGAAGTGCAGAGATAAATTGGGAGGATTTGTTGGTGGGTGGCCACAGTGCCCTATTGTTACTATTGCTGTGATAATCTAATAGATGTGATGAGATAGGCAAATTTTTGAATTAATAGAAGTAGGTGATAACAGATAACAAGGAAAGGGCAGTGTCACAAGCTGTCTAGAGCTATGGTAGATCCAGAAAGCACCTGTCCTTTTCTGGGGACAAGCATGTAACTGGGGAGGTGAGCCTCTCCTATGGAAGACATGGGAGGTATTGCTGGAGCTCCATTTGAAGCCTGGGGGGCTGTGGGAGGGAATATGGCACATTGATACCTGGCTCCTCTCCCACTAGGCCAAAAAAGCCCAAGAGACCCTCTCTTGTTACTGCCCCCTTCTACAGGTACCAAACTGGATAGCTCTGGTGTGGCCTTTGCTGTAGTAGGGGCCTGCCAGGCCCTGGGTCTCCGGGACGTACACTTGGCTCTGTCTGAGGATCATGCTTGGGTGGTGTTTGGTCCCAATGGGGAGCAGACAGCTGAGGTCACGTGGCATGGCAAAGGCAATGAGGACCGCAGAGGCCAGACAGTCAATGCTGGTGTGGCTGAGCGGGTATGTAAGACCTCCAACCTTATCCCCTTGGTGCTCTGCTAACACAAGCTATCCAAGGGACTCTTCTTCCCTGGCCCATACACTCAGCCCATTGCCTGCAGTCGTTCCTGTAGCAGGCACACTGTGGGCCATCCTGACCCCTCTGCTCTTGCTCCCCCCCCCCCCCCAAGAGCTGGCTGTACCTGAAAGGCTCATACATGCGCTGTGATCGAAAGATGGAGGTGGCGTTCATGGTGTGTGCCATCAACCCTTCCATTGACCTGCACACGGACTCCTTGGAGCTCCTGCAGCTGCAGCAGGTGAGGGGTGTGCCTGCAGCACTGGGCCTGGCCAGGCTGCTGCCTCAGCTTGCTGAGGGGCCCTGGGCAGAGTTCATCTTTCTGTATGTGAATAATTCCTTTTCAGGGGTTCCTGGGACAGTGGAATTGAGACCCAAAAGGGCTTTGATTCCCTTGAAGGATTGCTTCCTGAATTCTAGCCCTCTCTCCCTAGTTGGGGAGTCCTTAGTGGTTCTGATCCCCCATGCCACCTGCTAGGAAGCTGCCCCCCTTTCTTCCCCCCCCCCAACTCATAACTCTCTTCTTCGGCCCTAGAAGCTGCTCTGGCTGCTCTATGACCGGGGACATCTGGAAAGGTCAGTAAGGAGAAGTAGCCAGACTAGGGCTTGGGGGCCAGAGCGGTGAGTGGCATCCTAGACTTCTGATCCTTTCCCAGGTACCCCATGGCACTAGGGAACCTGGCAGATCTGGAGGAGCTGGAGCCAACCCCTGGCCGGCCAGACCCGCTCACCCTCTACCATAAGGTGAGCATCTCAGGAGGTGGCAGGGGAGCTAGGCTTTGACAATGTCTGGGGTCTCCTTTCCGGGACATGCAGGGAACAGTTGAGGGAAGGGCTTCGGGTGTGTGGGAGCATCTTCCACACAGGTCCCCATTTTGTATCAAGTGCATTGTCTATAGTCAGGGCTGCCCAAGGGGTGCTCTGCACTCCCCAGCCTACGATTGGCAGGGCCTCAATTTGTCCCCTTAGTATCCTTCCCATGTATAGCAGAGGCCACATGTGGGAGCACAGAGGGTGTTGGGTCTGGAAACCTCTGGTATTTTTGTAGAAGAGTAAGTGACAAAGCCCCTCCCTGGGCCTTGTTCTGTGGGGGTCCCCACCCCTATAATATACTTCAGGCCTCAGCAGTCACCTCCCAGAGGAGAGTTCCACAAAGGGGCCAGCAGGAGGTGGAGCTGGGGTTGGAAGTGGGGAGGACTCCACAACTTCCCTTTTGTACCTTCCCTGTGTGACTCGATGGGGCATGCATGCCATCCCAGAAAGCAGGGGCTGCCTCCCTGAGGTTTCCCTGCCCCATCCCACAGGGCATTGCCTCCGCCAAGGCCTACTACCGTGATGAGCACATCTACCCCTACATGTACCTGGCTGGCTACCACTGTCGCAACCGCAACGTGCGAGAGGCCCTGCAGGCCTGGGCGGACACTGCCACGGTCATCCAGGAGTGAGGATCCCCCCACTGCGGCCTCCAGCCCTTCCTTTCCCCTTACTCAGTTTCCAACAACTCTTGTCCAAGACTGAGACCAGGGTTCCCAGCTCTGTCCCCTCTCCCTCCATTCAGTCCCCAGAGCAGCCAAGGCTACCATCCCTGAGGAAGTAGGGGCCTCTGGGTATACCTTTCCCATTTCTTTCCACCAATTTCTAGCCTAGCCCTACCTCCCCTCCTCAGTCTTGTGAGTACTCTGACATAGGTGCCCTTGTCTGGCTTGGGATGACCTGGGGGGAGAAAATCTGGGCTGTTCCCCCTGTTTGTTCCCTGGGGGCATCTGTCACAGATCCCACATGCTCCCTGTTCTCTCAGCTACAACTACTGCCGAGAGGACGAGGAGATCTACAAGGAATTCTTTGAAGTGGCCAATGATGTCATCCCCAACCTGCTGAAGGAGGCGGCCAGCTTGCTGGAGGCAGGCGAGGAGCGGCCCGGGGAGCAGACTCAGGTGAAGAGCTGGAGCTTCACTGGAGCCCACCCTAGGACAGGGTCCCCATTACACGGCTGGGGACTGTGTGTGGAAGTTGGCCCAGGGCTGTGTTCTCTTGCTGTAGCCAAGATCCTGGGATTGAAGGAACTGAGGATGTTTGGGGGTTTCTACCCTGTCTCTTTGGGTATATGGGGTGGCAGCCTTCTCTTCGATGGCCAGGGTTCTCACACAGGGTTAGATGGAGGTAGGAGACAGCCTTCCCTCCTCTGCCCTGGCTGAGACGGGCTTTATAAGAGGAAGGAGGATTTGAGGATGCTCCTGACCCCTACTCACCTCTGTAGTCAGCGCTCTGCCTAGGTGGGGACCTGCCTGCACCCTGGGTCTGACCTGTGCTCTACTTTCCCTTCCCCTTTGCCCAGGGCACCCAGAGCCAGGGCTCTGCCCTCCAGGACCCTGAGTGCTTCGCTCACCTACTGCGATTCTATGATGGCATCTGCAAATGGGAGGAGGGCAGCCCCACACCTGTCCTGCACGTGGGCTGGGCCACCTTCCTCGTGCAGTCCCTAGGCCGCTTCGAGGGACAGGTGAGGGGGCTGGGTGCTCCGTGGTATGACGTCACCACAGGGTGGTGGGACACTGCCATTCTACTTGGGGATAGATGGAACAGACCCTTAGCCGGGGTCGCTGGGGCCGGGTGGGCCCTGCAGTTCCCAACCGTGGTCTGCAACACCTTCCTGGCTGCTCGTCCAGGTGCGGCAGAAGGTGCACATAGTGAGCCGAGATGCAGAGGCAGCTGAGACAGAGGAACCCTGGGGTGAGGAGGCCCGTGAAGGCCGGCGGCGAGGGCCACGGCGAGAGTCCAAGCCAGAGGAGCCTCCGCCCCCCAAGAAGCCTGCACTGGACAAGGGTCCCAACTCTGGGCAGGGTGCGAGTTCGGGACCACCCCGAAAGCCCCCAGGAACAGTCCCAGGCACAGGCCGTGGCCCTGAAGGCAGCAGCGCAGCTCAGGCCCCCGCACCCGCTGCATCACCGCCACCAGATGGGCCGGTGCTCACTTTCCAGAGTGAGAAGATGAAGGGCATGAAGGAGCTGCTGGTGGCCACCAAGATCAACTCCAGCGCCATCAAGCTGCAGCTCACTGCGCAGTCGCAGGTGCAGATGAAGAAGCAGAAGGTGTCCACGCCCAGCGACTACACTCTGTCTTTCCTCAAGCGGCAGCGCAAGGGCCTGTGACCTGCGGGGAGCCCCGTCCCACCCTCAGTCCATCCAGCTGGGCTTCCCCCAGCACCCATTCCCCAGCCAGCCCCGCTGCCTCCCAAACAGCCAGATTGGGCCTACAGCCTGGCTCCGCCTCCACCCCACCCCAGCTCCCAGGTTTACAAGTACTCAGATGGTCGAGGCAGTGAGGTCCTCCAGCCATGGCCCTGCTCCTAGAGTGTAGTCCCCTCTCCGCGCATCCCGGCCGGCCAGGTGGATCGAGCCCCCGAAAGTGGGCCACAGCCGAAGCTCTGACCCCCGCCTCCCTCGGCCAGACTGACCGACTGCAGGCTGTGGCCCTCCCACCTGGGGAGACTGAGGCAGGCCTCCCTCTAGGGGCTGAGGTCTGCTGGCCCGGGACTCTGGGGCACATTTCCGCACCGCGGAGTCCACGGCTGGGGACCCCGCGTGCCCGCGCCCAGGGCGAGCCCTGATACCTGGACTCAGGGGCCCGGGGCCCGGCCATCCCCGGACCCGGAGGAAGCCTGCAGGGGGGTGGGAGGGCGCGGGCCGAACTCTTCCTGTTTTGTACATAGATTTATTTTTTAGTTCTAAGGCAGATGAATACATTTTGTTAAAAAAAAAACAAAAAAAAGGCCTGCACCTGTCCGTGTTTCGTCCCGGGACCTGCGGCTGGGGGTGCGTGGGAGGGGGCGGCCCCGCCCCGGCGCGCCCACCTGTGGCGCGGGCGCGGACGGCGGGGCGGCTCCCGCGGGCGCCTCCTCCCGGCCCGGCGGCGGCGCGGCGGGGCGGCCCCGCCCCGCCCCAGGGCCCCGGCCCCGCCCTCGCGGCCTCGGCGCCCGCCCCGCCCCGCGCCGCCCCGCGCCGGCTCCGCAGCTCGCGCCTGCCGGCCGGCCCGCCCGGCGCCGGGCCATGGCGCTGCTGCGGGACGTGTCGCTGCAGGATCCGCGGGATCGCTTCGAGCTGCTGCAGCGCGTGGGGGCCGGGACCTATGGCGACGTCTACAAGGTGCGCCGGGCCGGCGGGACGCGCGCGGAGCCGGGAGGAGGGGGCCGCGCCCGGCCGCGCGGGAGGGCCGCCCCGCCCCCGCCTCACCCCTTCGCCCCCCGCCCCGCAGGCCCGCGACACCGCCACCTCCGAGCTGGCCGCGGTGAAGATCGTCAAGCTGGACCCAGGTGAGGGCCGGGCGGGGCCTCTGCGTCGGAGCGGAGCGCGGGCGGGCGCGGGCTCGGTGCGGGCGCAGGGTGGACGTTTCCAAGACCCCCCTCCTGCCCCCGCGGCCCCGCCGGCCACCTGTCCACCTGTCCGGTCTGGAGGGAGGCGCCCGAGGCCCATTTTGCAGCTGAGCCACTGAGTCAGCCACCCCCTCTGTGTGCCCTCGTGCTCCTCAGGGGACGACATCAGCTCCCTCCAGCAGGAAATCACCATCCTGCGTGAATGCCGCCACCCCAACGTGGTGGCCTACATCGGCAGCTACCTCAGGTGAGGCTGCCCTGCCCGCCTGTCCCCGCGCAGCCCCCGCGCGGCCTGCGCGCCCACCCCAGCCCTGTGTCTCCTCCCCAGGAACGACCGCCTGTGGATCTGCATGGAGTTCTGCGGAGGGGGGTCCCTACAGGAGATTTACCACGGTGCGGGGGGTCCCCCCGGAGGGTGTGGGGGGTCCTTGGAGGGCTGTAGCCTTTCCCCCTAGCCCAACGTGGCAGCAGCCGGGGACAGGCCCGGCCAGACTTGGGCTTCTCTCCATTCCTGACTGGCTGTGTGACCTTGAGTGATAGCTGTCTTTCTTTGGGTTCCGAATTCCATCCTAAGCAGGAGAGGGATGTATCTAACACCCCTTTCCCTTAGAAGTCCCTGCTGCACCCCCTCACACACACTAGGGTGTCAGGGAGGGTTCCCATATCTCTCAGCCCTGCTCCATGCCAGCCCTCACCCTTTCTGTTTCAGCCACTGGGCCCCTGGAGGAAAGGCAGATTGCCTACGTCTGCCGGGAGGCACTGAAGGTAGCTGGGCCCATAAGACTCTCTAGCTCTCCAGGAGCTGTGGGTCCAGACCCCAGCTGACCAGTGGGGTGAAGCCAGCGCTCCAGACAGGACTGGCCCAAGGGGCTCTGGGTCCTAGAGGGGAAGGGGCCCCATCCCTGTTGCCGGAAGCAGCCCATTTCCCTCTTGGCTCAGTCACTTCCTGTTTGGGGAGAGGGGAGGAAGAAGTGGCTTGGGTGGGGGGCCCTACTCCGAGAAGGGGTTCAGTGAGAGGATGTGTGCCAGGTGGCTGCCCTCAGGGACTCCTCTTTGTCCTCAGGGGCTTCACCATCTGCATTCTCTAGGGAAGATCCACCGAGACATCAAGGTAGGTAGGGGCCGGCTAAGGGCGCAGGGTGAGGGTGCTGGAGGCTGGGGCAGCGCACTGAATCTCTCCTCCATTTTCACAGGGAGCTAACCTTCTCCTCACTCTCCAGGGCGATGTCAAGCTGGGTCAGTACCTAGGGACACACTCAGTACCTAGGGTTCTGTGGCAGCCCAGAAGCTCTAGAGAGTGCCTGGTGCCCTGGGATTAATCACTTTACTCCGCTGGCCTCAGTTTCCCCATGTAGGAACTGTGGCATAGTCCCTTCCTGCTGGTAGCTAGCTGTGGTTGGGCCTGGATGGCATCCTGGCGTGGGACCAAGGCACTGAGTCAGGGATAGAGGCTGGTTGACCCCTTGCAGGAAAGGGACCCGGCCAGGCCTGGGGCCAGTGGCAGCTGTGTCTGGGCCTGGCCACCTGCCCATCTGAGCCTTTCCAGGTGCATCCTGAGCCTGAGGCCCCGGAGTGATGGGGGAGGTGAGTAGAGCCACAGATCTGGTGAGAGCTGCTCTTGTTCCTGCAGCTGACTTTGGGGTATCTGGGGAGCTGACAGCATCTGTGGCCAAGAGGAAATCTTTCATTGGGACTCCATACTGGTGAGGCTGGGGCCTGGAAAGAGGAGGAGGGGCCACAAGTGGGGTTCCTGGCCAGCCGCACATGTGACACCCCTCCCTCCCCCCACTTCTAGGATGGCGCCTGAGGTGGCTGCCGTGGAACGCAAGGGTGGTTACAACGAGCTGTGTGACGTGTGGGCCCTGGGCATCACTGCCATTGAGCTGGGCGAGCTGCAGCCGCCACTATTCCATCTGCACCCCATGAGGTCAGCCTAGGCCATGCCCCTTGCCGGCTGTTTGCCCTGCTGACCCTTCACCCCTGACCTCACACCCTCCCCCAGGGCCTTGATGCTCATGTCAAAGAGCAGCTTCCAGCCACCCAAGCTGAGGGACAAGACGCGCTGGTGAGGCCCCTCCCCTCCCCCTTCCCGTGCTTGGACCGTCTGACTCCCCAGGGTGCAGGACCTGGTGTGGACGGGAGAGCAGGGCAGATGGCTGGTGATGGAGCCGTGGGCAGTAACTGTCCTGCCCTGATTGTTCCTTGCTGGGTAGGCCCTGCTGGGTTCTGGAAGCTTCTGGAGCAGGGATGGAATGATCAGCAGGATGCCCTGCATGGGGCCTAACCTCCCGCCGGGTGGGGGTTCTTGTACCCACTAGGACCCAGAATTTCCACCACTTCCTCAAGCTGGCACTGACCAAGAACCCCAAGAAGAGACCAACAGCTGAGAGGCTTCTGCAGGTGGGAGGCAGGGCGGGCCTGGGGCTCAATGCACTAATGTCTGGAGAACAAGGCTAACCTGAGCACCCTCATTCCTCCAGCACCCTTTCACAACCCAGCAGCTCCCTCGGGCCCTCCTCACTCAGCTCCTGGACAAGGCCAGTGACCCCCACCTGGGAACCCCCTCCCCTGAAGACTGTGAGCTAGAGGTAAGCAGGGAGCAGTGGGGAAGGGCGGGGCCGGGAACAAGGCCTTGACCTGATCTGGTTGGAAGGATCCCAAAGGAGATATTGGTCAAGGTCTGTCCCCCTCTTGACCCCCAGGACCTGGGCTCTGTCCTTTAGCTTTTTCATTCAAGGCTGGCTCTCTACCAGTTGGGCCCCAGCTTCATTCCCAACTTCTTGTTGGTTAATTGGAGATGAGTCTCACAGATTTTCCTGCCTGGGCTGGCTTTGAACTGCAATCCTCAGATCTCAGAGTAGCTAGGATTACAGGTGTGAGCTTAAAGTCACAGTAATTCCAGCACAGAGAGCTTGCCTATTAGGAATCTTCCCTGGGCTGGGTCTTGCTTCTCCTGTGATAGGTTCCCACTCTTGAGCCCAGGCTGACCCGGGGCCATGACTGAGTCATCTTGCTTTCGGTGTGATTTTTGGCAAGTCACATAGCCTCTCTGTGCCAGTTCTCCCATCTGTGACATGAGGGTGCCCATTTTAATCCCACGGTGACCTCAGAGGGTTTTCCCAAAAACAGAACACCCCATGTGTGTGCCCTCGCAGAATTCCTGGCAGGAGATGGGCGCTGGGTGCCAGTGCACTGCTTTTCCTTCTTAGACTTACGACATGTTTCCAGACACCATTCACTCCCGGGGCCAGCCTGGTGTGGCCGAGAGGACCCCCTCCGAGATCCAGTGTGAGTCTTCTGACTTGTTTGCCCGTGGGTTAGGGTGTGTGCTGTGTGTATACCAGGGTCTCAGTGTGTGTACGTTGTGGGGGGAGATGCCAGCCCCCTAACCCTGTACTCTGGGCCTCCCAGTTCACCAGGTGAAATTTGGCGCTCCTCGCAGGAAGGAAACCGACCCAATCAATGAGCCGGTGAGGGCTGTGGTGGGCCGGGGGTGGGGAGTGGGGTGGGGGTGGGTCTCTGATGTAAGAGATTGCTTTCAGACAGGGGCTCCCTGTACCACCCACAAATCTGTAGCTAATGGCTCCATTGTGGGCCAGTTTCCTTTAGACCGCGACTTAGAAGATGGGCCTAGGGCTAGTGGGGAGGTATGGCTCAAGTGGTAGAGCAAGCATGAGGCCTTGGGTTCAATCCCCAGTACCACAAGGAAGAAAAAAAAAAAAAAGCTAGGTACTGGTGGCTCATTCTTACAATCCTAGCTATTCAGGAAGCTGAGATACGAGGTTCCCAATTCCAAGCCAGCTCAGGCAGGAAAATCCAGTTAGCCACCAAAAAACCAGAAGTGGAGATATGGCTCAAGTGGTGCAGTCCCAGCGTTGAGCAAAAAAATCTCAGGGACAGCACCCTGATTCAAGCCTCCAGTACCAGTACAGCTACATGCACAAAATTGGCTCTGTCAGCATAGGTCTGACCTACACTCTGGTGTTACTAGTGCATTGTCCATCTTCCTGTCTGTCCTCTCTCCTGCCATCTTGCCTTCTGTATAGCTAGGATTACATGCATGTGGCACCAGTACCTCGCTTTTGTTTAGTTTTGTTCAGTGATAAAGTCAGGTTCTATGACCCAGGCTAGCCTGGAACTCATGAACTTCCTGCCTGAACCTTCTGAGTGTTCTGATTACATTCGTGGCTGCCACAGTGGCTTTCCTGCAACTTTTATTGACCTCTCACAGTTTTTTCTCTTTGCCTCCTTCCTTGTCTCTCTGCCTTGGTTTCCTCCAGTGGGAGGAAGAGTGGACGCTATTGGGAAAGGAGGAGCTGAGTGGGTAAGTGAGGGAGGAAAGCTGCAGCGTGTTTTGCGGGGGAGGGGGGGGCAGGGGGAGGTCCTGTAGTGAGGCTGACCTCTGATCCTTCCCCGCTGTCACACAGGAGCCTGCTGCAGTCCGTCCAGGAGGCGCTTGAGGAAAGGTGAGGGGCGGGGACTCTGGGAGGGGCGGGGACTCTAGGCCCAGGAGCCAATCCCATTTCATAGCGGTTGTCCACTGCTTTGTCTCCCGCAGGAGCCTGACCATCAGGCCGGCCTCGGACCTCCAGGTGCTGTAGCTGGGAGGGAGGGGATGTACACACAGGTGACAGGGCCATCTAACAGCCCAGCCCTCTTCCCAGGAACTGGACTCCCCCGATGATGCCATGGGCACCATCAAACGCGCCCCTTTCTTGGGGCCCTCCCCTGCGGAGCCAGCCAAGGAGCATCTCTCGAGCTCTCCAGGTGAGCCTCAGATTTGGGAGGCCAGGAGGAGCCTGGAAAGGGGCCAGGGCTGAAAGTCACCGTGCGGCCTATATACCTGCAGGAACCCTGCCCCCACGTCCCCCAGGCCCTGGCAGCCCCTCAGTGCTGCCCACCGCCTGGGCCACCATGAAGCAGCAGGAAGATCCTGAGGTGAGGGCCAGGAGGAGGAGGGGCTATGGGCACTGGGCAATGAGGTCACCTTGGCCCTAACTCCTTCCTTCCCTCCCAGAGGTCATCCTGCCATGGGCTTCCCCCAACCCCCAAGGTGCACGTAAGTGTTCACCTGTGTGTGTGTCCCGCTCAGCTGCTCTCCTCACCTGCCCGCCCACTGCTGCCCCGGCCCCCCTCAGCCCCTCGCTTCCTCTACAGATGGGCGCCTGCTTTTCCAAAGTCTTCAATGGCTGTCCCCTTCGGATCCACGCTGCCGTCACCTGGGTCCACCCTGTCACTCGAGGTAGGCCAGAGGAGGACCCACCCCCCTCCACGTGGGCCACTGATCTCTGACCCTGTGCTCACACCTTCAGACCAGTTCTTGGTGGTGGGAGCTGAGGAGGGCATCTACACGCTCAACCTGCACGAGCTGCACGAGGACACCCTGGAGAAGGTGAGGCTTCTGGCCTTGGGGGGGTGGGGCAGAGGCTCAGGGAGGCTGCACGCCAGCCAAATGCCCCTCACTTTGCCCCCTAGCTGATCTCCCACCGCTGCTCCTGGCTCTACTGCGTCAACAATGTGCTGCTGTCACTCTCAGGTAGGGGGCGGGGCAGCTGCTGAGCCCCTGTGCCCTGAACTTCCCCCTAAGCCCCCGCTTGTGCCTTGCTCATGGCAGGGAAATCCACACACATCTGGGCACATGACCTTCCGGGTCTGTTTGAGCAACGGAGACTACAGCACCAGGCGCCGCTCTCCATCCCCACGAACCGCCTCACCCAGCGCATCATCCCCAGGTAGGGGTTGCGCGTTGCACTGAACTGGAGGGCAGGGGCTCTGATGTATCAGCTGGTCCCTTATCCTCCCTGAGCCCCAGGATCCTATTGGTCAGTACAGGTACTAGCCACCTCCTCACCAGCCGCAGCTATTGGGCTTCCTGATGGCCGGTAGCTGGGCGATGCTGGACATAAAGCTTCACGAATTCTGTGTTGGAGAATCAATGGAGATGACTCCCTTTGCAAGATGGTCCCTGTCCCCACCTGATGCTGAGGTGGGCCTGCTGGGAGATCCTTGGGGGACAGAGGTTGCAGAGTGGAGAGAGATCAGAGTCTGAGAACACATGGTTTCTGGGCAGAGGAAAGAGCAGAGATGTGTGTGAAACAGTCCAGGACCTCCATGGTATTTGGCTGAGGCCGAGGAAGCTGCCCTGGTGGCAGAGCTCTTCTGTTGCTGCTGCTGCTGCTGCTGCCACTGCTGCACCATCAGCGTTTTTAAAAGATCGATCTGAGTGCCAGTCAGGATTCTTCCTGTTGAAGGTGATTTCAGCTGACTGGCCAAGAGCTAGGAGTGGTGCCATAGGCCTGTCATCCCAGGCTGAGGCAAGAGGATCTGAAGTTCTAGGCCAGCCGGGGCGACCTAAAAAGACCCAGTCAAAAGCAAAACAAAACAACTCATTGGTTTAAGCACAGAAGTGAGTTTAGTGTTTAATGTAGCTGAAGGTGCCAGGGTAGGCTTAGCTTCAGGCTCAGTTGGATCCAGGTGCAGGTAGCACTGGTAGGAACTGGCCTGCATCTCTGGGTTTAACAGACTTTCTTCTCAAAGGACAGAACAGATGGGGCTACCTGTAGTCCCAACCCCATGGATCTAGAACCTCCATTCCCAAATCATTCCCACAGAGGTTTCAGGCCACTTCTCATTGGCCCCGCTGAGGTGCCGCCTCGCTCTCCAGCCAATCACTGGGACTGGGAGATAAGATATCTAGGCCTGCCCTGGGCAGGAGAACGTCTCAGCCCTCTTATAGAAAGATGCTCGGCAGAGGCACATGCTAATGAGTTGTGGTGGACAATGGAAGGTGAACTGGGAAAGGAGCGGGCCCGTGGGCCAGCCTGGGGGGGCATTTAGAGTGGACTGACAAGGTTAGGGGACAGAGTAACCCTGAGTGTGTCCTAGGTTTGTGAGGCATGGGCCATGTTGGAGAGAGCACTTAGTCATTCAGCTGATGACGACAGTGCTCAGAAGGCTCCTAGCAGAGTCCCGGGGCACAGATGAACTCTGGCCCTTGTCATGGCGTCTATTGCTTGTGGAGGGAGGCAGGCAGTGTGGAGCTGGGTCAGGGAAACTATTTGGTGGCTGATGGCTCAAGAGATCATCCAGCCACTGGGACATCAAGGGTGGCGTTGAACAGGTGCTCAGGAAGGCTTTGCTGAGAAAGTGCTGTTTTGGGCAATAGAGAGCTGGGGTACTGTACCTCCGTGGCAGAGCTCTTGGCTGTTGTATGTAAAGCCTGGGGTTCTGTCCCCAGCAGTGCAGCAGAAACAACAAAAGACTAATCCTGTAGATATGTGGGGAAGGCCATTGGGCAGAAGGCTGGGCCAGTGCAAAGGCCCTGGGACCGAAAGTCAGCTCGGTCTACTTGAGGAACAGCAATGAAGCAGTGTGGTGGATCAGATTGAGTGAGAGGGAGATAACTGAGGAGGCCTTCAGCTTTAACTCAGAGGGCAGAGAGAGTGGGGCGGGCATGCTGCAGAGTGACCCACACTGAGATCACCAGCGACAGGGCGAGGGTGGAAGTAAGGAGGTATTGCAGTGCTGGGGTGGGAAGCAGTGTGCACGAGGGCTGGGGTAGCAATGGAGGAAATGCAAACCGGTCCAGTTCTGGTACTGTTTTGCCAGTGGAGCCAGCAGGATTTCCTGATGATAGGCAGTAGAGGGGAGAAGGGCGTGGTGGGGCTGACCAGGGCCCTGCCCTGGCTTTAGGAAGGATGGAGCTGTCATCAGTTAGAGGTGGAACAAGAGCCAGGAGGAGCTGAATTCAATTTGCATTGACGTTTGTTTTTGCGCCAGATGCCTGTGGCTCACATCTGTGAACCTAGACACTTAGGAGGCTGAGATCTGAGGAGTGAGGTTCAAAGCCAGCCCAGGCAGGAAATCCTGTGAGACTACAATAAACTACCAAAAAAGTCAGTGGAGGTACGGTTGAAGTGGTAGACATCTAGCCTTGAGAAAAAAAAAATACCAACGGATAAAACTAAGGGACAGTGCCCAGGCCCTGAGTTGAAACCCTAATTCTGGCACACACAGGGCCTATGCTTGCCAGGCAAGTGCTGTACGAAGATGCAAGCCCAAGGTACATTTTTTTTTTTTTTTTGTGGTGATGGGGCTTGAACTCAGGCCCTGGGAGTCATCCCTGAGCTGTTTTTTGCTCAGGGCACTCAGTGGCACTTTTTGAGCCACGTGCCATTTACGGTTTTCTGGTTTTCTGGGGGTTACTTGGAGATAAGAGTCTCTAGACTTTCTTACCTGGGCGAGCTTTGAACCTTGATCATCAGCTCTCAGCTTCCTGAGTAGCTAGGATTACAGGTGTGAGCCACCAGTGCCTGGCTGTGGTTTTGTTTTTTTGTTTTTTTCTTGGATTTTGCAATTTTTTTTTTTTTTTGGTCCAGTAGTGGGGCCTGAACTCTGGGCCTGGGTACTATCCCTCAGCTCTTCAGCTCAAGGCTAGCGCTCTACCACTTGAGCCACAGAGCCACTTCCGGTATTTTTCTTTTTGCTTATGTGGTGCTGAGGAATTGAACCCAGGGCCTCAGGCATGCAAGGCAAGCGCTCTACCACTGAGCCACCTTCCCAGCCCTTTTCTTGGTTTTTGTTTTTGCTAATCCCAGGATTTAAACTCAGGGCCTCAAACTCTAGATCCTCCAGATTTCAGCGTCTTAAGTAACTAAGATACAAATATGAGCCATCAGTGCTCGGCTCAAGATGCACGCGCACGTGCGTGCGTGCGTGCGTGCTGACTGTGCTGGCTAGCTCTGGGGCTTGAATTCAGGGCCTGCGCACTGTCCCTCAGCTCTTCAGCTCAAGGCTAGCACTCTACCACTTGAGCCATAGCACTGCTTCTGATATTTCTGAGTGGTTTATTGGCAATTAGAGTTTCATGGACTTCCCTGCCCGGGCTGGCTTTGAACCATGATCCTCAGATCTTAGCCTCCTGAGCAGCTAGGATTACAGGCGTGAGCCACCGGCACCTGACTTTTCCTTAGTTTTTTGCTTGAAGCTAGCACTCTTCCACTTGAGCCACAGCTTCATACCTGGTGTTTTGGTGGTTAATTGGAGATAAGAGTCTCATGGGCTTTCCTGTCTGGGCTGGCTTCCAACTGCAATCTTCACATCTCAGTCTCCTGAATAGCTAGGATTACAGGTGTGAGTCACCAGCGCCTGGCTTCTAAGATACATTTTGAATGTGCCATGCTAAGGAGATCTCCATCCATCTACAGCTAGAGGGGGTAGAAGCTCCAAGGAGAGGGCTGGCTCTGGGTTCAGATGCCATGACCAGATGTAGAGGTGGGGCATGCAGCAGGGGACCTGCAGGGAGGGTAGGCAGTCCAGGCCCAGGGCAGCACTGCACCTGGTGTCCACTGTCCTCTGGGCTTCCTGAGCTTCATCCCCTGTCCAGCCTCTGCTTGGGCCCTGGGCCTGCAGGAAACTGGCCCACTGAGGCCCTGGTGAGGCACTGCAGCCTGGGGCCCGTGTCTGGAAGGTCAGAATCACAAGGTCCACGTTGCACATAAAGAAGAGAAAACATGAATTACTCAAGAGGAAGAACCAAATACAAAGCTACATGCCAGAATGTATGCCACAGTCCTTCCCAAAGGCCAGCTGGGAGGACAGCGAGAGGAAGAAGGAGGGCAGAGGGCAGAGAGGGGCAGACGCCGGCTTCCTCCCAGGGGCCCGTCTTGGCAGAAGTACAGACAGAGCCTGAGTCACATGGCCCTTTCCCTAGAGAATACTGCGTGCTCCCCATCATCGAAGCCACCCGCTCCCTGGCCCTGCAGGCCTGTGGCCCCCACCAGAGCAGTGATGGAGGGCAAATGGTTACTGTCTGAAGCCTTTCTTCCCGCAGGGCCTGTGGGTGCATCTGTGAAATGGGCCAGCGCAGCCCAGCAATCCAGAGCCCGACTCCACTCCTGCCACTCTCCTTCACATGGCTTTGCCCACAAAAGAATTGCTTTTGGGCCTGGGAAGGTGGCTCAGTAGTAGAGTGCTGGTCTCGCACGCATGAGGCCCTGGGTTCGAATCCTCAATACCACATAAACTGAAAAAGCCAGAAGTGGCGCTGTGGTTCAAGTGGTAGAGCTCTAGCCTTGAGCTGAAGAGCTGAGGGACAGCGCCTAGGCCCAGAGTTCAGGCCCCATGACCAACAACAACAAAACAAAAAAAAAGAATTGCTTTTGTTTTGTGTTGTTTTTGTGTGTTGATACAGGAGCTTGAACTCAGGGCCTTTCACTCTTGCTTAGCTTTTTCACTCAAAGCTAGAGCTCTGCTGCTTAAGGTACAGCTCTACTTCTGGAGATAAGAGTCTTTCTAGAGGGCTGGGAAGGTGGCTTAGTGGCAGAGTGCTTGCCTAGCATACATGAAGCCCTGGGTTCGATTCCTCAGTACCACAGACACAGAAAAAAAGTGGCTCTGTGGCTCAAGTGGTAGAGTGCTAGCCTTGAGCAAAAGAAGCTCAGGGACAGTGCTTGGGCCCTGAGTTCAAGCCCCAAGACTGGCCTGGATTTGTCTGCTCAGACTGACTTCAAATCAGGATCCTCAGGTTTCAGCCTCCTGAGCAGTTAGGATTACAGGTGTGAGCCACCAGCTCCTGGCTCCTAGAACTCAAAGCAAGTGGAAAAGTAAAGCTACCAGGCGCACGTTTCTCCCCGTAGGAACTTGTATCATCCTGTCTGCGGCCCAGGAAGTGGCCACTAGCATTACCCACATTCTGCAGATAAGGAAATTGAGGCATGGATGGGGGAAGTGACTTGCACAAGGCCACGAGGGCCCTGGGTGTGACTCTGTGGACTCCGGGCTGGAGAGCTGCAAGGTGGCCGCAGTGATGGGGTGTCGCCGTGCTAGTGTGCAAGATAAAGATGGCCACCCTACAGGGCTCTGGCTGTCGATGGCTCCCCAACTCCCTACCCCCCACCCCCATTTATCACCCCTCCAGGCGCTTTGCCCTGTCCACCAAGATTCCAGACACCAAAGGCTGCCTGCAGTGCCGTGTGGGTAAGAGCTGGCCGAGTGGGGCCCCAGCAGGGTGGGGCACAGGCTGAGCTCCCTGCCCACCATCTGTCTCTCCCTCAGTGAGGAACCCCTACACGGGTGGCACCTTCCTGCTGGCCGCCCTGCCCGCCAGCATGCTCCTGCTGCAGTGGTACGAGCCCCTGCAGAAGTTTCTGCTGCTGAAGGTGAGGGGGTGGTGGGAGAGGCCCAGGGAGTCTCAAGGCAGGCAGCAGAGACCCGAGTACCCCGACTACCCGGCTCCCCCTCTAGAACTTCTCCAGCCCCCTGCCCAGCCCAGCTGGGATGCTGGAGCCGCTGGTGCTAGACGGAAAGGAGCTGCCGCAGGTGTGTGTGGGTGCTGAGGGACCCGAGGGGCCTGGCTGCCGCGTCCTGTTCCACGTCCTGCCCCTGGAGGCCGGCCTGACGCCTGACATCCTCATTCCCCCTGGTAATCAGGGAGACTGGATTGGGGGGGGGGGTGGTTGGCAAGCAGATAAGGGAGACAGAGGCGGGAGTTAGGGGCTGGGAATCACAAGCCACGGCTCCCCAGAGACCTTGGGGCCCAAGGACATCAGAGTGGGTTTAGAACTCTCTGCCTCCCTTTAGCTGGAAAGATCTCCAAGACTAAGCCTGGCATGGTGGTGCAGCCTAGAGTCCCAGTTTACTGGGGAGGCTGAGGCAGGGAGGATCGCTGAAGTAAGTCTAGGAGTTGAAGGCCAGCTACAGTGAGAAAGGAGCTGGGCACCAGTGGTTCATGCTTGTAATCCTAGTAATTTAGGAGGCTGAGGTCTGAGGATTGTGGCTCAAAGCCAGCCACCTAGGCAGACAAATCTGAGTCTTGGCACTAGTTAACTAGCAAAAAGCCAGAACTGGAGGCATGGCTCATATGGTTGAACACCAGCGTCAGTCAAAAAAGCTAAAAGTGTAAAGCCCTGAGTTCAAGCCCTAATATTAGTATGCATGTGCATATATGTGTGCACGCACGCTTGCATGCGCGCGCGCACACACACACACACAAGAAAAAATTATTGTACCAAACAGCTGACAGCCAAGAAAACTCTAGCTGCCAGTGCTCAGGCCTGGCAGCATGATAGCCTTGCTCACAAGAGGGATTTGTTTTGTTTTTTTGGTGCTCATTCTCAGGGCCTAAGTGCTCCCCCTGAGCGTTTTTTGCTCAAGGATAGAGCTCTACCACTTGAGCCACAGTGACACTTTTGGTTTTCTAGCGGTTTATTGGAGTCTCAAGCACTTTCCTGCCCTAGCTGGCTTTGAAACACGATCCTCAGATCTCACTCAGCCTCCTGACTAGCTAGGATTGCAGGCGTGAGCCACCAGCAGCTGGCAGAATTTCATTCTTGAGTCTCCCGGCTGTGCATTGCTATGCCTGGGTCACTCGTGAGGAACCGAGGCTGACAAGGGAAGAGTGGAGCCCACTCACACCTCCCTGGAAGATGTGTCCTGCTAGGTCCTCAGGAAGTTCCTCCCCCTCTCTTGAGTTTCCTGGTAGGGGTCAGTGTGAGATGGCTGAAAGTGGTTGTGTGTCCCATAGATGCCCCATATCTTGGGGGCTCAGTCAGGTCTGGTCCCCTTTTCTCTGCCCACAGAGGGGATTCCAGGCTCTGCACAACAGGTGATCCAGGTGGACAGGGACACAGTGCTGGTCAGCTTTGAACGTGAGTACCTCTGTGATCCCTGCAGGAGCACAGGGGGAGTAAGGGCTGGGGGTGGGGGTGGGGGCAGGGATCTGCCCTCCTTTGGAGGGAGCCACTCTGTCTCCCCCACACGCACACAAACACCAGCTCCATTCCTCTGTAGGCTGCGTGAGGATCGTCAACCTGCAGGGTGAACCCACAGCCACACTGGCCCCTGAGCTGACCTTCGACTTCCCCATAGAGACCGTGGGTAAGTGAGCCAGAGGTGGGGTGCAGGGGTGCCCTCCTAGCTCAGAGTATAATACAAGGTGGCCCAGGGGGCAGGAGCTGGATGGAGGGCAAGAAGAATGCCTCCAGCTCTTCTGGGGAGCCATCCTGGTCATCCACAGTTAGGACCCCTGAGGCCAGAAGTGGGTTCTGGGGGAAGGGGGGGCGGCTGGCTCCTGCCTCAGTGGGTGGAGCTGGGCAGGTAGAGCCAGCCCCTCCCCCCTGCAGTGTGCCTGCAGGACAGTGTGCTGGCCTTCTGGAGCCATGGCATGCAGGGCCGCAGCCTGGACACCAATGAGGTGAGTTGGGCCGGGCCACCCCCACAGCCCTCGTGTCTTTGGAGAGGACACCTGCTGGAGTGATTTCAGTACCCCTTTGTCTTCCAGGTGACACAAGAGATCACGGATGAGACGAGGATCTTCCGAGTACTAGGGGCCCACAGGTAGGTGGTGGCATCCCTGAGGTCAGAAGTGGACCAGCATGCCTTGCACCTCCTGCCTTGCTCACCAGGTGCCTCTTCCCTCACTAGAGACATCATACTGGAGAGCATTCCCACAGACAACCCCGGGGCACACAGCAACCTCTACATCCTCACCGGCCACCAGAGCAGCTACTGAGCCGTCCCTCCTGCCCCTCTGGGCAAAGCGCGGAAGAGCCTGAGCCCCCCACTCTGCTAGGGCTGGAGGGCAGAAATAATCCTGACCAGTGTGTGGGGGATGTCCCTCAGGGGGAGGGCACCTCCCCCCCCCCGTTTAGCAATAACTGGACCCCAAGGAACTGCCACCACCTCCCTAGTGTGGGGACCCCCACACTGGCACAGTGGGGGCCATCCTGCCAATCCATTCCATTTTGTTTCACATTCCCACTTTCTGCTAAGAGCCTGCCCCTGGCTCTGTCTGGGGAACGTGTATTTAAAAGAGAACTATATTGGTATGAAAGCTGGCTGGTCTTATCCCACAGGTCCCTGTGGGCTGAGGAGCTGGCCCCGCCCCCGCCGCCTGGCCCCCCTCCCTATCTGAGGGTGCTTGGTGTTCCTAGTATCTTCCTGGCAGCCCTCCACTTTGCAGTTTTGGAGCTTTGTTGTTCAGCACCCCGAAGGACCATGCAGTAGGGACACCCAGAACAAAGAGATCATCTAGGGAACTCTTGCCCTGCAGGACCTGACCTGTGTCCCTGCCAGCGGCTCTGTGATCTAACCTGTTCCATGACTAACAGCTACTTGCTGGCTTCTGCCTCCCGCAGCGCCCCTTAGAGGTGCCCAGCAGCGCAGTGCACTTGACAGGCTAGGAGAGGAGACGGGGCTGAGTGTGTGTGAGACCCCGAAGGGCTCCTTGGCACAAGGCTCCAGGGTCACGACCAAGATGCAGATGCGCCCTCAAGAGGGCCCATTATCGCGGGAGCCCATGCTCAGATTGGGCTTTACCTTGCCCTTCTCCCACAGCCCCTGAGCACAAAAGCCCAGAACCCCAGGTCAGGAGCTCTACAGCCTCAGGCACTGACTGCCTGTTCTTGACCACAGCCTTTGGACAGGGGAGGACAACCAAGACAGGGAGGGCGCTGCCCCTGATGGAAAGGGGCATACAGGCAGGGCCAGGCCAGGGAGGCTGGAAGCTCCGGGAGCAAAGGTTCGAGACTCCGCCGGGGCCCATCAGCATGCTGATGTTTAAGATGACCTTTCCTATGGCTGGTGGGAGGGCAGATGACAGCTCGTATGAATAGACACAGGATATCAGTGATCCCTTCCCACCCACCTGAGGAGTCCTGGCTGTGCTGTTTCTAGTGACAAGTGTTTCTTGGCTGAAATGAAGAGCTAGATAGACTAGGGGAGGGGACACATCTGGTGTACCCAGTGAGACCCGAGGGGAGAGGCACTTTCCAAGCTCTGAGGGCCAAATTAAGAGGGAGGTATTAGGGCTACCTGGCGAGTTCCTTCCTCCCAGTTTTCCAGATTTCTTGGAAGAATGCTGGAGGCAGGGGTGGAGAGGTGAGCACCTAGGAGGGGCCAGGACACCCTGACTCCAGTTGTCCTGGGTTAGGTCTGTGACCATTACCACGACAACAGTAGATAGCGCCACCTTGTGGTAAACCCTGGAGGCCTTAGATCCCACCTGAAGAGGGAGGGGCTTGGAGGTGTAATGTGCCAAAGGGGGGTTGGAGATGTGTGTGTGTGAAAGGAAGGGCCTCTGACAAGTTTTCTGCCAGCAAAGGCAGGCATAAGCCAAAGAGAAGGTAAGAGAGCAGGGAATGTATACTGACTGAGACTAAAACTCAACTTTATTTATATATTTGTTTATAGATAGTCCTTGCTTGAGGTACATATTTTGAAATACAAAAGATAGAATGAGTTGGGTGTGGTAGGACATGCCTGTAATCCCAGCACTCAGGAAGCAGAGGCAAGGCAGGAGGTCCAGGCCAGCCTTGGTCACATAGCAAGACTTTGTCTCAAACATTAAATAAAGTATTTTAAAGTTTCCCTCCTATTCCCCCAGTTACCCATGTCCCAGTTACTTTTGAGCCCTTCTAGCACTATTTATGCAAATTTAAAGTATTTAAATGTATTTTCTTTTTTTTTTTTTTTTTGTCGGTCTGGGGCTTGAACTCTGGGCCTGGGCACTGTCCCTCAGCTCAAGGCTAGCGCTCTACCACTTGAGCCACAACACCACTTCCGGTTTTCTGAGTGGTTTATTGGAGATAAGAGTCTCAGACTTTCCTGCTTGGGCTGGCTTTGAACCCCAATCCTCAGATCTCAGCCTCTTGAGTAGCTAGGATTACAGGCGTGAGCCAACAGCGCCCGGCTCAATATATTTTCTATACACTTGGGTATATACATATTCCACATATATTGCCAACTTTGCTCTTTTAAATATGCCTGGAGATTTTTTTTCTTGATCAGTGTTGTCCTTTGTTGTTTTATAACTCGCAGTGGTCCAGCTGTATCTGGCTCCCATAACTCATGTTAATGCACCGTAACTAGATCCCTCTGGATGGAAAAGCTAATTGTTTCTACCACTGCGATATTAAAAGCGATGCTGCGATAACCATTCTTATCCAGTGCTGTTTTGTGTGTATCCCGGCAGTGGCCCTGCTGGATCAGAGGTGGATGCATTTGGCATGACAGCCACTGACAACTCGCCCTCTGTGGGTGGAATGGGGCAGGCAGGACATCTTTAAGTTGTTCTGTGGATGAAGAAAGGACACAGGCATCTCTGGTGTTCAGGAAATGGTCACACCTGCAGCACACCTGTGGAGATGGTTAGCAGAGAACCCTGATGATGCTCATCACATTTCCCTAAGAGCACAGGAGGCACATTCACTGTGGGGAGGAATGAGCATGAGCATGAACTGGGGGGTCAGCCAATTTTCCCCAGATAGAGGGGTGTGTGTGTGTGTGTCTGTGTGAGAGAGAGATCCTGAGCCAAGCCTGGTTCCCTCTACCTATGCCACAGCCTTTCCTAAAGGAAGGGCTGTTGGCAGGACAGAAAGTGCTGCTGTAATGTACTTACTACAACTATACAGATGAGTCAGGAAGAAAGGAACATCTCCCAACCTGCAGGACTTGGCGATTCCCAAAGAGGATCTTGGCTGACACTGGTTTTCTCTTTCCTGTTTACTTTTTTTTTAATATATATTTTTTATTGTAAAAATGCTTTCCCTGTTTACTTTTTTGAGGACCCAGAAACTTTGGGGAGCTCCTAGGCAGAGGGGATAGAATCCAGGGGCCTCATACCAAGTCAGGCAAGTGCTTGGCAAGTAATCAGTTCCAACCTGTTTCACAAATTTTAATATACCTTAGATCCTTTGTGTTTTGCTTGAACTCAGGGCCTGGACACTGTCCCTGAGCTGCTTTTGCCCAAGGCTAGTGCTCTATTCAGCCACAGCCCACTTCAAGCTGTTTTGGTAATTTATTGGAAATAAAAATCTCCTGGGCTGGCTCGGAACTGTAATCCTCAGATCAGCCTCCTGAGTGGCCAGGATTATAGGCATGAGCTATAGGCACCTGGCCTGTGAGACTTTTATCTCTAATTAGCAACCAAAAAACCTGGAAATAGAGGTGTAACTCAAGAAATAGAACACAAGACTTGAGGGAAAAAGCTAAGCAACACTATCCAGGCCAAGTTCAAGCTCCAGTACTAGCACACACACACACACACCAAAGACTTCAGGAAGGGGCTAGAAACTTGCCCTTTGCATTTCTACAACAATTAGCTGAGACCAATTTGGTGTCCCACAAGTTGATTCAATTCAGATGGTAACTAGTGCATTACACAATTCACAATGGTGGGCCATTTTAAGCTTATTTATATTTATACACAGCATTAGAGCTTTATACGTTTTTTTTGGGGGGGGGTCCAGTTGTTTTTTTTGGGCCTGGGCCTTGTCCCTCAGCTCTTCAGCTCAAGGCTAGCGCTCTACCACTTGAGCCACAGCGACACTTCTGGCTTTTTTCTTTTTGCTTATGTGGTGCTGAGGAATCGAACCCAGGGCCTCATGCATGCAAGGCAAGCGCTCTACCACTAAGCCACCTTCCCAGCCCCTAGAGCTTTATTTCTGAAGTTTTGTGTTTAAATAATTTTGAGCTCCACTACCTGGAGTTAACAGACTCACAGGTCACGAACTCAGCCACAAGTCACTCCTCTCCAGGCTCCCTGAAATTCTCTCTAAGTAGCCAGGTGCTGTTGGTTCACATCTAATCCTAGCTACTTAGGAGGCTGGGATCTGAGGATTGTGGTTGGAAGACAACCCAGGCAGAAAAGTTCCTATGAGACTTTTTTTTTTTTTGCCTGTCTTGGATCTGAACTCTGGGCCTGGGCGCTGTCTCTCAGCTCTTCAGCTCAAGGCGAGCGCTCTACCACTTGAGCCACAGCACCACTTCCGGCTTTTTCTGTTTATGTGGTGCTGAGGAATCGAGCCCAGGGCCTCATGCATGCAAGGCAAGCGCTCTACCACTGAGCCACCTTTCCAGTCCCTCCTATGAGACTCTTATCTACAATAAACCACTAAAAAAAAGCTGGAAGTGGCACTGTGGCTCAAGTGGTAGAAGACTATCTTTGAGCACAAAGCAGCTCAGAGAGTTCAAGCCCCCAGACCAGTTAAAAAAAAAAAATCTGAGCCAGATGCTGGTGGCTTACGCCTGTAATCCTAGCTACTCAGGAGGCTGACATCTGAGGATTGTGGTTCAAAGCCAGCCCAGGCAAGAAAAAAAATTTATTTTGGTCGGTTGTTAGGCCTGAACTCTGGCCTTGGGCGCTGTCCCTCTTCAGCTCCAGGCTAGCGCTCTACCACTTGAGCCACAACACTACTTCCGACTTTTTTCTGCTTATGTGGTGCTGAGGAATCGAACCCAGGGCCTCATGCATGCAAGGCAAGCACTCTACCACTGAGCCACCTTCCCAGGCCTACACGAGACTTTTATTTCCAATAAACCACCAGAAAATCAGAAGTGGCGCTGTGGCTCAAGTGGTAGAGCGCTCGCCTTGAGCTGAAGAGCTGAGGGACAGCGCCCAGGCCAGAGTTCAGGCCCCACTACTCCCCCCCGAAATTGTCGTTACCTAAAATATGTGGGAACTCTGTGACTTCATTCAAGTTCAATAATTCATCAGAATGACATACAGAACTCAGGAGAGTGCCATACACATACTTACAGTTACTACTTCCTTTTTTTGTTGGTCATGGGGCCTGAACTCTGGGCCTGGGCGCTGTCCCTCAGCTCTTCAGCTCAAGGCGAGCGCTCTACCACTTGAGCCACAGTGCCACTTCCAGTTTCCTAGTGGTTTAGTGGAGGTAAGAGTCTCACATTTTCCTTCCCAGGTTGGCTTTGAACCGTGATCCTCAGATCTCAGCCTCCTGAGTAGCTAGGATTACAGGTGTGAGCCACGGGCGCCCAGCAGCACTTTCTTAGAAAGTATAACAGGGCAGCAAGGGCTGGAGATTCATGTTCCTGCGGAGGAAGAGTGCACCACCCTCCTGGCACATCCACAGCTTCTCCAGCCAGGAAGCTCTCTGAACCTCTCGTTGAAAGTGTCTACTAACCCCCATGTCTAGAGTCAGGATTGGATAACTCAATGGCCATGTGACTGATATCCCACCCCTCTTCCCTTCCCAGCTGAAAGATGGTTGATTTCTGGCAACCAGTCCCATTCTGATACTGTTTGAAGGCCCAGTTTTGTCTCTCCCCCCACCCCCCCTTAGGTTGTGGGCTTGAACTCTGGGCCTGGGCACTGTCCCTCAGCTCTTCAGCTCAAGGTGAGGGCTCTACCACTTGAGCTGTAGCGCTACTTCTGGCTTTCAGGTGGTTTATTGGAGATAAGAGTGTCATGGACTTTCCTGCCTGGGCTGGCTTTGAACTGCCATTGTCAGAGCTCAGCCTCCTGAGGAGGATTATAGACGTGAGCTTCATTTTTTTTTTCTTTTAAATAGAATTTTGTTTTGGGATACCTTTTGTCAGGGTAGCCCAGACCTGGGTCATATTCATGCTTCCTGCCTTAGCTGGGATTAGGTGTATGCCACCAACCTCCAGCTTTTTCTGTTGAGATGGGGTCTTGATAGCTTCATGACTGGTTTGACTTCAGAACTTTGATCCTTCTGATCTGGGCCAGGATCACAGCTGAAAGCCACTAGCAGCTAGCACAAGTCACTTTTGTTAGTCGTAAGAAGTTCATTGTGAATAATTAAGCACACTTAAACCACTCAGGAAATTCCAAGTGTTTGATGCTCTGTGCCAGGAATGTGAGATAAAAGACCAGATATTTTCTCTACTAAGACACCCTTCTATAAAATCAGAGGTGTCTGTAATTCTGGCTGAAGCTCAAGAGGTACCCCTATTAAATTCAACTGTGGCTCATGCCTGTAATCCCAGGAGGCTGGGATCCAGAGGATCTCTGAAGTTCATGAGATGCTATCTCCAAAATAGACAGCAAAAAACAGTCTTGGAGGTATGGCTCAATTGTGCTCTGCAGTTTCACGGAATCAGTGCCTGTATTCTACAAAAAAACTGAAGCTGCAAAAATGAATTCCTTAACAGCTGGTGGATGGCTAAGGTTGGCCCAGGTGAGCAGGACCCCAACTTGCTCCAAGATTGAGGAGATCAGGCTCAGTTGTCTTTAGCTAGAAACACTTGGATTGCTTGGATTGCAGTCTTGTTCTATCCATATAAGGAGCCTCATACAAGTACAGCCTGGGTGTCCTTGAGGGAAATATTCAATAGCTCTGTGCTTCAGTTTCCTTATTTTTTTGTGCATAGTCCCTCCTATGCACAGAGGCTTTTTTCCAAGATTGCCAGTGAATCTTACATAGTTAAGTTCAGCTTATTCTTGGTTTTATTACATGAAAATGGCACTCTACCACTTGAGCCACAATTCCACTTCCTGATTTTGGGTAGAGACAAGAGTCTCACAAGCTTTACTGCCAGGGCTGACTTTAAATCACGAACTTCGGATCTCCGCCTTCTGATCAGATAGGATTATAGGCGAGAGCCACCAGTGCTGGACTAGTTAGGGAACTTTAAGAAAATTTAATTAAATATCTCAACTTTGGGATCACAGGGGCTGGGAAGGTGGCTCAGTGGTAGAGCGCTTGCCTTGCATGCCTGAGGCCCTGGGTTCGATTCC